GGCGCAGCTCTGCTCAGAGTCCAGGACCCCGCGAGGCCGGGAGAAGGGAGGCCGGCATTTCGATTCAACGCACAAGTTCCTGCCGTGGTGGCGAAAGTTCTGGAAGAAAAGTCTGAGTGTAGCTGCCACTCTAACGATGCTTAGAGACGCGTGCGCTGCGCAGTAAGGAAAGGTGGGGTTTTGTCCCTTTTAGTGATGAGTCTCGGGAGTCCCTGGCCCAACCCCTCGGTCACCGGCGAGTCGCGCGCCCCGCTCGCCCGCACTTGCGGGAGCATAATGAGCCACACAGTGAAACTGGCTACGCTGACAGCGGCCCCAACGCCCTCCACAGGGGCCTCTGCTTGTCACAGGTCCCGGCCTAGGCCGCCGCTTGGGCTCATGGCCCAGGACGCCCGACAGCGGGAAACCTGGCTTTCTGAGTCCCGTGTCCTAACCACGTGAGCTCGGAGATCTCACAGAACCTCCCTGAACCACCGTCTCTTCCTCCGCAGTCAGGACGATGCTCAGACGGGTCGCCTGACGGCCACAAGGACGGCTTTCCGCAAAGGAACTCGTGGCATGACAGAGACTCCCCCAAAATGGAGCCCGCCTTCACCGGGGCGCATCCAGGCAGCACCTTACTACACGCTCTGGGAGAGCGTCAGAAAGGCCGGCTTCGGGGTGAGGAAGGGGGTTCCTTCAGGGCCCTGCACCCCGAGGCCAGGCAGCAGCTGGCCTGTGGCGTGGGCTTCTCAGAGAACCTGCGTGGTGGGACACGGGAGCCGGCGCCCCCGGACGCGGGCTTCCGAGAATCTCCTCTACGGATTAGCTTCTGACTGCAAAGAAACCACTTATGAAATGCTCAAGTATCAATAGAACGACTTTTCAGGACACAGATAATTATTATAGTTCATCGAAGGCATCAGCACTTGAAGAAAGCACTAAAATCACGTTGCATTTGTCAGACTTCTCCAGAGCACAGACCCAAGAGTGTGTGTGTGTGTGGTGTGCGTGGTGCGAGTCGTGTGTGGTGTATGTGTGTGATGTGGTGTGTGTGGTATGTATGTGTATGGTGTGTGTGGTGTGCATGTGTGTGGTGGATGTGATGTGTGGCGTGTATGTGTGTGGTGTGTGTGGTGTGTAGTGTGGTGGTGTGTGTGGTATGTGTGGTGCGTGGTGTGGTGTGTGTGTGGTGTGTGTGGTGTGCGGTATGTGTCTGTGGAGAGGGAGGACTTTACTGTGAGGAACTGGCTCACTCTAGTACAGTCTGGCAAGTTCTAAACCTGCAGCTGAAACTTCTTGCTGCTGGTACTAAGGCCACTCGCCTGGGGGAGGGACCAGACTGACATGATCATTGATATTCTTTATTTTTAAAAGGGTTTTATTAACATAATTAGTTGCTAGTGATTGCACGAGAAACAGAAGTGGTCAAAGCACTTACAGGAGGCAGGTGCTACGACCTCCTCAAAGATGTTCAAGTCAGCTGCGCGTGGCCAGGTGGCCAGCCTCCTCCGGGGCCCACGCTCTCAGCTGCCCACTAATGACATGTAGAACAGTGCAAAATGCACCTGGAAGTCATAAAACAGACTTTCTTTTAAAAGATTTTGTAATTCAGACTGTGCTCAGTCCAATAAGCTTCTTGTCACCCCCAAGTCTGCTGGGCAGGCAGTCGAGTCCCTGTGTGCCACGTGTGGCAAAGCCTGGCCTCAGACTGCTCCTGCATCCCATTCACAGAATGGTGACAATAACTCAGCCTTCAGGGCCACAGAGCCCAGGACCTGAAGCTCTCTGTGCACAGTGGGTCGTAGTCATGCGGCTGGGACTGGAATGGCTGTTGCCTAGGAGGGGACCTCAGCGGGACTTTTCTAAAGAGCACAGGGACGGTGTCCAGAATCCTCCCCTTTATCCTACCTCCTCCCAGAGGACACACATGCACACAAACACATGCACACGCACACAACACACGCCACACACACTACTCACATGCACAACACACACCACACACATCACACACACATGCACACTGCACACACCACTCATACATCACACATGCAACACACACTACTCACACGTGCCACACATGCCACACACACCACACACGCCACTCACATCACACACGCAATACACGCCACACACATGCACACACACATCCTGCCTGTTTCCTTTGTGCCTTGTTACTAAGTTTTCTGGGGCGGCGGCTCATCCGGGAATCCAGCACTAAACTCGGGGGTCACAGGCTGCGCTGCAGCCATTGGGAAGGTCCCCGTTTTTCACTCTGGGTTCTGGGCAGCTGAGTTCCCGGGCAGCCAAACGTCAGACGAACATCCGACAGCAAACACGAAACGCCCATGTCCACTTACTGCTGAGCTCAGCCTCCTTGGCCATGGCCGCTTCCCCCGCCGGTCCGGCAGAAGCTCTCTGGCACCGTCGCCGAGGAGACAACAAACATCCTAAGTCCCTCTGCGTGTTCTGCTGCTGCCTGGCAACCAGGACGCCGGCTGCGTCACCACGCAAGGTCCCCGAGCCCGCCTCTCTGAAGCCCCGCCCCTCCGGCGGGGAGTGCAGGTTCGCTCGCGTGTTTCACCTTTTCAAATAAAACGCTGCGTGGGGATTGAAACACGGTGTGGATTGAAACACGGTGTGGACTGAAAAACACAACGCCCTTCGCTCTCTACTTAGGGCTTAGGGAGCGAAGGCCACGCCTGCGGGCGGGCAGCGCACAGCTCCCCTTCCACGGGCGGCCTAACCTTGACGTCTTTTGTTGCGACTGTAATGAATTCATCCGCCAAAATCACGCAAGCCTCCGCCGAGGCCAGACTTCCACGTAGAATCGCCGAGAACAGCCCACCGTGCAGCTATTTCGACGGGCGTTGTGCTATTCTGCCTTCCGCCTCTAGATGGCGCCGGAACACACGCTACAACCCGCCCGGGCCCCTGAGGATGCGCGCGACACCTTCATTCCACCTTCCCAACCACGGCGTGTGTCCGCGCGCCCTTCCATGGCACCCCGCATTCCGCAAGGGAAAAAAAGGAGCATTGTCTGCTCTTGCCACTTTGCTAGAAATGCAGACATGCACGACTTATTCCCTGCTCTAGAGATGCTCTGGGCGGGCGAGGAGAGCGCCTGGGGCAGGCGCGAGTTGAGGGGGGTCCCCGGGGGGCAAACCGGTCCCCAGAGGCAGTGGGAGGGGCTCCCGAGCGCCCGGGGTGCAGATGCACGGGGCAGGAGGATGGCAGGGGCCTTGTCATCGAAGAGGGGCGGAGCCTCGCGTGTGATCACGGCAACGAACGGGTTGGAAAGGTAATTAGTCAAAAATAAACATTTTGGGTTACTGCTTTGTCAGCTGTGAAGACTTATGCAGAAATGGACGAAGGTGAAACGACTTTCTGAACCCCTTTGTGCTGCCTAAGCTCCAGAGGTGTGACACGGACGATGTGTGGAAGGGACTTCGGGTGGCCTGAGCTATTCACCAGCCAGACAGACAAGAAGTGACCGCAGCACCGGGCCAGGAGCGGACGTGGGTGGCTCCTGCAGACGGCGAGGACTTACTGAAAGGTTTTGATGAGAGCTCCCACGCATTCGCATGTCAGAAACACAGGTCTGTTGCTCCACGTTGTGGCCGGTGAGGGGTGACATTTTCCACTCTCCACGAGGTGCGTGGCTGCTGCGGTTCCGCGCAGACCCTCCCCCGCCCCCCCCCACTCAGTGGGAGGAGGGGGTGTCCATCCGCCCCAGGCAGAGGCCTCTGGGCCTCCGCACCTCGCCTTCTTGCCTTTTTATGGTCTTGCCCTAAAGGTGCTTTCTGCACTCTATCGTTGAGTGGTACTTGAGGACAAATGAGGTGATGACAAGACCCAAAAAGGTTGAAACAATGGACCATGGAAATGGTCTTCGGCACCCGCGCCGCCCGCAGTCTCCTCTCCCTCCCCGCTCCCCCAGGGTAGGCTGGTCCTTGCATTTCTACATAAAACGATCTTCTTTACTTTCAAACTTCGCTTAGACTTGTCTAAAAATTTTTCCCATGTTCCATTGAAATGTTTTGTCACCTGTAACAACTGGTGACAGGGTCAGGTTGGAGGACGCTGTGATTCCCCATTCGAAAGGATGAAAATGGTCAGGTAATGGCATTAAGTGAGGGGAGGAGGTGGACGAACCCCGCCCCAGCCACCGGTCACTCTGCCCGGAGTCCCGTTATGTCGCATCCCTCCCGCGGCCCCGCAGGCCAGCGCACAGACGGGGAAAAAGCCCGCGAGCCGCCCACGGGGTTCTCTGACACGGATGGCGGCCAGCTGCTCGCTCCTTCCTCCCCGGGGGTTTTCCTCCGGGAGGTCACTGCAGACCAGTCCAGAAGGAGCCCCTGCCTCTGTCACAGCGCGCAGGACACCCTCGTGCGGCCATGTGTCAACGTACAGACTCAACAGACCAGACCGTGCATGCGGTTCCGCTAGTGTGCCCTTGACCCCCAGCGCTCGCCTGTCTGTCATCTCCCGGGGGAGGGTGGGCAGGGACATGTGGGGAGTGGCCGAGTCGGAGGGTCCGCACCCCTGGAACGCGCTGTGTCTGGTGGGCTGCTCCCCCAGGCTGTGCCAGCCCACCCGGTTCCAACAGCGGCAGGGGGCCTGTCCCCCACTGCTTGCCACCAGGCGTGTGCATCCACCCGCACGTGTGACCTTCGTCATAAGGTGTGGCCGGTCAGCCACTGAGAGAGGAGAGTCCACAGGGAACCTGCGGAGATGAGAGGGGGTCACAGTCACTCTCGGTGACGATGACCGCATTCCAGCTGAGACGCTCGGGGACGGCCCCCTCCTCCACTTTCTGTTGCTGCCACTTAAATCACGAAGGGAAGACCCCCAAGTCCCATAGTGCAGAGTCCGCACAGGTCTCTGGACGAAACCCAGGTGTGGGCAGCGCCGGTCCCTCTGGCGGCTCCAGGGAGCATCGTCCCCGGGCCTCTCGGCTTCCGGAGGCCCCTGCGTGCCTGGCTCCGGCCCCGTCCTCCCTCTTCGAAGCTGAGTCTCACATCACGGCTGCCCGGCTGCCCCCGCCTCCCACGGAGGACGACCCTCTGACTGCGGAGCCACCTGAACCGCACAGGTCACTTCCTGTCGCTCTCCTCGGATCAGCGGACTAGAGCCTTGTTCCACCTGCCACCTGCGCCCTCTGGCACATAAACTGGTCCATTCGGCTGCTCCAGGCATGAGGTCATGGATCTCTTGGGGGACCGTGATTCTGCTGACCGCAACCGCTCCCCCCCGACCCCCGCCGAGTCGCTCACACTGAGGCTGATACCCGAGAGGCCAGAGGGAGGGACCGCGGGCCTGGGGCACAGGACAGGGGGGCCTCAGCCGCCAGCTGGCGATGGACGCAGATCCCCCCGGCTGTGACAGGGACGGCTGACCGCTGCCGGCTGGGGCGCGTGCGTTTGGTTTGACTTTTTGTGACTGGAGAAATCTGAGCGTGTTTGAGTAACGGGGCCGGGGGAGGGAAAGCTGAACAGCCGCAGGACCCGATGCGTGTCTGAAAGGCGCAGGCCACCTGCCCGAGGAAGCTGGGCAGACACGGGGATGGCGCGCCCTCCCGGTCCCCGCGGAAAACAGCCAGGCGTCTCCTGGACCTCGTGTGCCAGGCGGGCCAGTCGTCCCCGTGCCACTGCCATTCTTAGCAAAGGCACCAGGGCCCCCGAGCCGTGTGCCCACACGCGGGATCCCGTGGAGGCGGGGCCTCGAAGGCACAGGACCCCAGCCGGGGTGGCTTTGCAGCAACTGGGACCCCTGGTATTGCGGCCTTTTCATGTCCCCAGGGAGTGGCGCTGACCGCGTCACCTAGATGGCAGGGCTAACACTGCAGCCCCCTCCCCGGCTCCTTCCCAATCCACACCGCCGGCAGCGGGACACGGGACGCGTGGCCGTCGCCCACTGCTCTAAAAAACACGGGGCTTTGCTGGTTACTCCATTTCTTAGCCACACTTTGCTTGTGTTTTCGCTGGGAACAAAGATCTGCTCACATTTTGATTAATAATAATAATAATAATGGATAATAACAACAGGAGGGCTGTTAGTACCTGAATACGGAAATGGACAGAAGTGACAGTCGCGTCTTCCTGGGGGTCATCTCTAACTATTAGAACCGAAAGTCTGAGACCCTGAGCCAGCTATATCGGCAGAGCAAATCCACATTTCACTGGCCTTAAATTCAGTGAAATAGTTTATTCTAGAACCGTATTTAATGTGCCTCAAATTTCCAATTTGTCCAACGCAGGAAACTTAATCTAGTCACGTTCCAGTAAATTCTACTTAACTTACTGGGTCCTGAATTCCCTTAGGCTTTCACTCAGCCCGGTTAAAAGCCTTTCTCTGGAGCTGTCTCCTGACCCGAGGGCCAGGGCGGGCCAGGTGGGCGAGGGAGCAGGGAGCTAGAGAGGGCCCTCGAGCCGCACTGTCCCCGGGTCCTCACTGGTCTGACCTCCGCCATCTGTCCTCAGAGATGTCCCCTGGGCCAGCCTGTGCTTCTCCGGTCGGTGGTCACCATGGCCCACCTGTCCCTCCTCCCCTCCGAAGCTGCATCCCCACGTCGTACCTGAGTCCCCTCCTGGCTGCTGGGCTCTGGCTCCGCTGCCTCGGGAGCTCGGCCGGGGGCGGTCCCCGTGCGGAGTGGCGGTGGCGGCGTGGGCCCAGGTCCCCTGGTTGCCGCAGGACGCTGCTGCTCTCCTGTCCTTGCGTCTGAGGACTCGGCCATGAGACGGGCCACGCTCTGGGCGCCGCCGAGGAAGAGAGGGCCTGAGGACCCGCTTGCTCAGACTCCACGGAACTGCGCTGGGGGTGAATTCCCTCCCCACCGGGGTTCTGACCGCGGGGGGTGGGGGTGGCCTGGGCCCCCTGGGCACATTCGCTCGCTTTTCCAGTCCTCCCTTCCCCTGTCCAGGAAACCCTTAGTCCTGGAGGCAAAGAGTCAGGAAATGTCGGCTTGTAGCTGCCCAGATGTCCCCAGACCCGTCGTCACTCGAGGTTAAGCAGGTGTTATTTTCCTGATGTGTATTAGCATACACGTGTGTCCGGTTCTTCTGTATGTTAAAATATTTGCATCTTTTTTCTAACGACTGAGCAGTTAGTGGCCCCAAGGCCCAGAGTTCCACCTAGTGACACAGCCATCCAAAGGCTGTGGACTTTGTCTGAACATACGCAGACACCAAGTAAGAATCTGGAAGTTGAGTCAGATACATCACTGATTTTATTTTCTAGTCACTTTGTCTCCTCAGCAACAGTCAAGTACAACTCTAAATCTGCTGCGCGATGGGGTGCGGGTGGGGGGTCTTGTTGGCGGGAGGCGGGGGAGGGCAGAGCCCGCAGCTTCCACTCCATCCGGCTGTAGACCCCAGCGCACACCTGGACATGCGACAAACTGTTACAGGTGTGGTTGTCAGGTCTGTAAAGGTGTCCTTTCCCCTCCCTCCCATGCCGGTCTGT